CTCCTCCTCCTCCTCCTCCTCCTCCTCCTCCTCCTGCGCAAGACATTGCGCGCCGAAGATCCTCCGACGAGCAACCGAAAGCAAAGCCGGACGAGTTAGGGTACGGGCTCAGTGGCCAGCACTCTGAGAACTCGAGAGGAACCCGCTGCGGTGTGCCTGTTCTCTCTGCGTCTGAGCCTGTCCCAGATCTTCTTGGCCCAGGCAGGAAGACCCCCTGAGACACTGGAAGACAGACTGGAGAGGCGAGACGACGAGATGACACCACAGCGAGAGCAACCGACCAGGGCGACATTGTCCTGGAGAGAGAACTTGACCAGAGCGAGAGGCCTCTCACCCTTAGCACTGAGGGCCTGGGAAGCTCTGACTGCACGCGAAACGACGTCCTGGGGCAAGGTCTCCTGCACTATCAGGAGCTTTGGGGTGGGGGGCTTGCCGCGCTGGAGCGAGGGAGGGCGGGGGGAGTCGGGAAGGCCCTCACCCACCTTGCCCACCCACTTCACCCAGGATTTCAAAACCTTGATTCTGGAAGCGACGGCGGCAGACTGCGGCGGCGGCACACGGGCGGCCTGGGCCGCCCACTTGGCGTGGCGGTCGGCCATGTCGTTGCCGATCTTGTCACGAGTCGTGACGCGCCCCGATCGGACGTCCGCGCTCGAGGAGCGGGCAGGCACCTTCACGAAACGAACCGCCTCACAAAACTCAGAACCGTCAAATCCCCAATCCTCGAGCCTGGCCCACACCTCGCGCCGGAGAAAAACAGCGCGCGTCTAGCGCATGAGCGGTGTGCACACGGCCTCTGGACAGCACGCCGTCGAAGACATATTTAGAGTCGGTGTGCAGAACGAGGGGCGGACACGCATGCTTGAGACACTCAAGCAGAGCCGTCAACTCCGCCTCATTGACGGTGGGAAACTCAGAAAAAAAAGCGGGCCACGCATCAGAGCAGAGACCTCGCGGAGGGCGCGGGCGCCTCTGGACAAAGCAACCACAGCCCAGCCTCCAGAGGCCCAAGGCCCCATGTCCCCTTCAAAAATCGAGCCATCCAGGAAGACGTCTCCCGCGAGCCGTTCAGGGGGCCCGTGGACCCAGAGCAGAGGAGGGAGGTCAGGAAAGGAGGGTCGCCCCAAAAACGGCATCGGTGCTAAACATCTCTCGGCGAGCAGCTGCGGGAGACCTCCGTTACTCGCGGCTTCGCCGAGAGACTGACACAAAACATGCGGCTCTTCAAACTGCAGGGCGTGCTGCGCGCAGCTGCAGTGTCTGTGCGTGAGCGTGCCTAGCTTGATGGAGCCAGCGGCGAGGCAGGCTATGCAGTTGGGGTCCACGGGGTAGCCAGCTTTCCACTGCCTCACCATTGGCCACTGCGCTCCAATCACGACCGAGCGCGCGTACGCACGGTGCTGCGGCAGTGCCTTGGAGCGCAAGAAGGCTGAGATGGGAGCTATAGGAGCACACCATCACAAAATTCGGGTGCTTCAACATGCTCGGCTATCTTCGCGCACTGCCAAAGGTATACTGCTCGCACTACATGCTGCTCGACTACATACGGGCAGGCCTCAGAAATATTCAGAACTCGACCTTCAGGGAAACTCCAGAGATCCAAGGAACGAGCTCGAACTCCACCCCGATGTAGAGAAGCCCAGAGAGTGGTGAAAGGTCCTGCTATGGAGCCCCAGGGGTACTTCAAGAGGCTGGGGTGGCCATCAACTTGCTTGAGACTCGCATCTAAGACCTGTCGGGGCATCCAAGATTCATGTAGACATAGCAGGAATAACTTAAGGGGCAACCAAGTGGCCCTGATGATGGGATCGAGGTCCTTGGTGGGCGCCAACATGAGGGAGAGAGTGAGGCTCTTCCCCGCCTGCTTATGATCCTGAAGTTTGCCTGCTAAACTGCGGAGCGCGTTGAGTTCCTTGCTGTTGACTCCATTGACGGCCGTGCCGAAAGAGGTGGCGCCCTCGTGCGCCGCTCGACTCATCTGCCCCAGTAGCTTCCTTCGGGGTCGGCTTGACTTCAATCCAGACATGCGAGCTCGACGTTTCTTGATGACCTTGAATCGAGCAGCCGTGGTGTACCTAGGACGCACCTCGCCAGAAGCATAGTCGACCCCCAGGTTGCGCTCGGTGACAGCGGTCTGAATCCCAAGATGCCGAAGGTTGCGAGCGAAACGAAGCCGAAGTTTCTGCGAATTGCTTAGCACCCTGCCTTTATCAACCGCGGGCTGCATGCCAGTTTTGTGCAATTCAGAAACAAGTGTCGCGGCTGACTGCTGGAGCTCGTCTCCCACGCGCCCCTCGCCACCGAAGCGCTGAGGAGAAGTCATCCACGTTGACGGCTAAAACAACGGAGCGATGCGCCGCTTGGGCTCTATCAAGGGGACCACGCAGCAGCAATTGTAGCATCAGCGTAGCAAACGTGCAACCTGGCACCACCGTTTGCTGCACCTCAATGAAGTCGCTGCAGACCCCTTGAAGATCCAGCACGCGTGGCGCACGGCAAACTTCCATCAAAAGCCGAAGCTGCCAGAGCGGGAAGTGTGTGTTTATGGCAGCCTGCAACAGATGATGATGCTGCGCACACTCGAAGGCTTTCTTGAGATCCAGGAGTATAGTCCCTGAACAATGTCCCCGTATAGTGCAGTACTCAGACCGGGCACTGGATATCCAAACACACTTCTCCGCAGAGCGCCCCTTGGTAGACCGCCAAAAGTGTCGGAAGTTACGTTTCTGCCACGCACTGATCAACGGCCGACGAAGACGACGCTGTAGACGGCAAAGCACGTGCAGCAATCCCAGAGGTCGCACACCTCCGAGGCGCTTCATGATAAAACCGATTCTGCTGCACATGCGCGGCCAGACCAAGTGCTGCTCTACGCGCGCAATGATGCCACAGAGCAATTCGAGCGCCACATCAGGGAGCAGGAGGAAATTCCTGGGGCTGGCCTGATCGAAGCCTGAACCAGTTTTGATGGGGAAGGTGCGGATGACAGCTGTAAGCTGGTCGGGCGTAGGGGGCTCGGGTCGGTGTCCCAGGAAATCTGGCCAAACCAGGGGCTGCTTTTGAGTGTGCACTTTCCACCATCCTTCCCATTCTTTTTGCAACGCATCAACTTCCTCCTGCACGTTGGCTGGCCTGAGCGCGCAGTGGGCCATGCAGTTCGGCTGCCGGCCGATCGGGGGAGCAAAGAAGGAGAAGAGCGCGGGGTATCTATCTATTCACGCCATTGCTGCCCCTTTCGCCTCGCGGACTGTTGATGTTGATTTTGTGCTGCTTGATCTGCCCAGGAACGTAACAAAGCCACCAGATCTCGAGGAACCTGAGTAATGTTGCCCAGGATGTTGGCCCAGGAAATGTGGAGGTCCTCCCGGGGCAACACATGGGACTTGGAGAGCTTGTGGGGCCTGTTGGTGCTAGACGTCCAAGCCTGCTGCTTCTCCAACATGTTTCCCGAGTGCGGGCCAGATCCGCTAGAGCAAGCGAAACCTGCTTCCACCAAACCTCGAGCGCGGAAAGCCTTCTGCCAATCACCTGCAAGCGCAAAGGGAAGATGAGCCGCTTCGAGTGCAGAGCCAAGCTTGGTGAGAATACTCCAGTTGAAATCAGCGAGATCGCCGCCGTCCTTCAGGTAGATATTTCCCAGGAGAACCCCCTGTGACCATGCCTCCCACGTGAAGAAGCGAACAGCGCCCAGGGAATATCTCAAAGATAGATGCCCCCAGGAGAGCCAGACCGATACGCTTGGGAACCATCGAGACCAGCCCTCCAGAGGTGCCCCCATTGTGCGTGGGAGCCGCGGGCAAAAACTTAGCAGACCACCCATCACGACGTAATGAGGCCTCGGTGTAATCTAGATCCAAAACTTTGTGGGTCTCTTGAACGCACAACACGTCAAAACCAGAGAAGCCACTCAAAACTTTCTCAAGACTGGAATACTCGGTGACGTTGGAGGTCCCCAGGAGCCAATCTCGAGTCCTTCGGTGTGAGGTAAGGCTAGGAGTTCGCCACAGGAGCCCGTGGCGAACGAGAACCAGAGCCTTCACGCCTACGCTCGGGCACCGCAGCCGGCTTGTAAGCCCGCCTAACAGTGCGCCCTGCGCTGGCGAGCACGTCGTTGAGCAACGCCTGCACCCGCTCGGGCTGGGCTCCGTTGTGCGAGGCGATGGTGCCCACCATGGTAGCGTTGGACAGGGGCGCGATGATGCCGTGCTCGACAGACGCCGCCTTGCGCGCCTCGTCAGCCCAGCTGTCATCGAAGTCCATGTCGTCGTCACCGCGTGGTGTGTCAGCTTCGCTCTCTTGATCAGATACCTCCTGAACTGGAGCTGCTCTGGCCATGCCACCTGGTAGCACCAGAGTCGCAACGGCTGGCGGTGGTGCGGCGGCAACGCGCTGCGCAGCCTGCTGATGCTCGGCCTGCGCCTTGGCGGTGAGCAGCTGGTTGAACGGCATGGCCAGGCCGGGGTCGAGCTGCTGGAAGCGCTGGAACATGATGCGTTCTGGTGCTTCAGCTTCACCCTGTGGAACTGCACCTGCAATCTGAGTCCAGGCCGGCCTCGAGCGGTCAGCAACCTGGCGTTCTTGCTCCTGCAGGCACTTCTGCTCCAGGCGCAGCTCCACAACGCGCTGAAACTGCTTCTGGAGGACGATGGCTGCCTTGGACAACTTGTTGTCAACAGCGGCCAGCTTGGCCTTGAGCTGCCCGTGCTCCTGCTGCGCCGCCTTGGAGAGTGCGTGTGGGTCCCCACTGCGCTGGGCGCGCACAGCTGCCACTTGGGCGCGCTGGCTGTGGGTGAGCAGCAGCGAGGTGTAGGCGCAGTGCTCCTCGGACATGGCGGCGAAGGCATCCACCTGCTGACCGCCCAAGGGCTTGGTGGCTGCAGTGTTGCTCTTGCTCCCGCCAGTCTTGCCACCGCGGCGCCAAGCGCCAACAGCAGCAGACGGTTCAGCAAACTGCACCTTGGGGAGCGGCTTCCAACAGTGCACGCACCACTTGTAGCGAT